GTGGGGTGTGGGTGGGTGTGGGTGTGGGTGTGGGTGTGGGTGGGTGTGTGGATGTGGGTGTGGGTGTGTGTGTTGATGTATGTTTGTGTTTGTGTTTGTGTTTGTGTTTGTGTTTGTGTTTGTGTTTGTGTTTGTGTTTGTGTTTGTGTTTGTTTGTATTTGTGCATATTTCGTTGCAAATCCATTTTCACTCTGGTATCGCGTACGAAAGTCAACATGTGCATCTCCTTCGTCCACACTTACACACATTGGTACAAACGCATACAGATATATTGAATTCCTATTTTGTAATCCGATTTTTTATCCAAATACGCAGATGGTTTGAGAATGAAAAGATTGAGTTCCAAAATGCGGTGCAGGAGAACTGCACCAGTAAACCGTCCATCCGCATGAGCTATCTCAACCAGTCGCAGGTACTACATACCGCTAAAACCCTAAAACCCTAAAACTTTAAAACCCTATAGCTCACATACCCTATAACCCCGTAAATGCTTATCGACAATTCAAGTATATGTATATCAAGAGCACACGTGTATGTATATCATTAGTACAATTAACCCTAAAACTCGCAAACCTTAGAACCCCATACATGCTTATCTAACAGTGCAAGTATATGCATATCAAGAGCACACGTATTTTATATCAATAGTACAAGCATATGTATTATTGTACGTATGTATATTGAATGTATATCGAAGACAACGTTGCAATATACGACAATGTTGCAAACTATGCCAATGTGCATTGCAAACCCAACACTCTGCTATATTCACTTGGCCAGCTTGCACTGATACTTGTGCCTGTACGGTCTCGTGGTTGTGGTGCCGTATGACCTGTGTCACCTGTAGAAGTCCGTTGGTTTCTGCTGGTCCTATCTGTCCCTGTATTGGCGTTTAGGGCTCAATTGGACCTATATACGATCGTGTCAGTCCAGCCCAGTACTTGTTCTAAAAATAGCGCTGTTCTAAAGATAGCTCTCTTTTTTAAATATAGCACTGACCTCATACCACTCAGGATCTGATTGACGACATGGTCACCTCAGTCGACAAGTGTGCCGAGTCATGGGGCGAGAGCAGTCTGTATACTTCTAAGGATTTTGCCGTATGTGTCTTAGGGTTTAGGGTTTTAGGGTTTAGCCACTGTTGCGTATTCGTTGCTTACATGTCCTATTGTTTTGGTTTAGTTTGGTTTGTTTGGTTTTTTTTGTTCCATTTTGTTTTACATGTCCAATTGTTTTGGTTTAGTTTAAATTGTTCGTTTCTTTGGTTCCATTTATGTTCGACTGTCTGTATGTATACCTGTAGGGTCTTCACTGTATGTACTTGTCATGCTAAGTACTGATCCTTCGCTTACGTATTCTTTTGAAATTTTTTTTGTTATGTTTGAGTCTGTGTATGTACTACAATGCAAATGTACATTGTGTCTATCCAGTTCTGGGTATGTATTTTATTGTGTACGAAAAAAATTATGCGCCTCTGTGTGTATAGGTTAGTGCATTTGAGTATGGCGTATCTTTGTAGTATTGAGAAGCACGTGCGCCCTAAATGTATGCACGCTCTTAATGACTGTGGCACTGATGTAGGTGCATATTTATATATATATATATATATATATATATGTAAGTATGTATGTAGGTATGTATGTATGTATGTATGTATGTGTGCATGTATGTATGTATGTATGTACGTACGTACGTACGTACGTATGTACGTATGTATGTATGTATGTATGTATGTATGTATGTATGTATGTATGTATGTATGTATGTATGTATAT